CTTTGTCTTTTATGTTCTACTTGCATCACTTATATTTACTTTTGAGGCAATGTAGATGAAGAAGGACATAGGACATGAATGGAGAACCCGGCAGAAGGAAGACAAGGAGTACAAAGAGATGGACATGTGGACTATTGATAAGCAAGCCAAGTTGGAAGGTCCCCTTCCCACAAAACCAAGAAAGGTGAAATACAAAGAGAACAACAATTTATTGTTTTATTATGACATATTTCACACATTGTAATAACATGTTTGTATTTTCATATTCTCATAGAAATTGATTCACACACTATTCTGAAGTTATTTAAAGTGTCTTTCTTAAATTATTCTAATACCCACTATATTCTTTCTCAGTGGCATTTCCAAACACGAATTTCCTTGAGATCAATTGTTAAAATAATAAGAAGATTGAGCATGGAACAACGTGATGCAGTTACTAGTAGTGGGTTAGGGGGGCTCTTGAATCTCAGATGTACAAAGCTTGATCATGACCTCTGCGAATGGTTGGTTCAGAAATTTGATCCCAAAACTTGTTCGTTGAATGTTCATGGGCGCCGACTCCTCCTTACTGAACTAGACGTTCACAAGTTATTGGGCATTCCTGCCGAAGGCAAAACAATAGAACTAAAAAAATCTTCACAAGCATTTCCCAAGCTATTTGAAGAACTTGGAGTTGTCCAAGGAGCTATCAAACTGAATGCTTTGAGAGAGTATTTGAACAAATCAGAGGGAGCTGGAGAGGAATTTACGAGGATATTTGCCCTATACATATTAGGTGCCTTCTTATGCCCAACCACAAAGGATGTTATTAAACAATCATTCATTCACCTCGTTCACAATGTGGATGGCATGAAGAATTATAATTGGTCAAAGTTCACTCTTCAATTCTTTGTTCGTGGTTTATGCAAGTACAATTCAAAAAGTCACTCACAACCAAATGGATGCTTATTTCTTATAATGGTATGCTTCTAACCAATTACAAATTGTTTTGTTAGAAATACTTGACTTCAATGCCTTTTTCATTACATAGTACATGTTAAATTAATACATTTTTGTGATGCAGTTGTTTTACTTTGATCGTGTTGCTCCTAGTGGTTGTGATGCCGGTCGTGCTCGTTCAACCCCCTCCTTGGCTTATTGGGGTGATGCAGAAATAAAGGGGACACTGAAACTATTCCAAAAATCAGGAGGTTACCAGAATGAGGAGGTCATCCTTAGCGTATCCCTTCTTTTATGTTTGGTTTTTTTTTTGTTATATTTCATGTTGAAATGGAAAACTAAATTGTTTACGATGTGTCTATAAATAGGTTGATGTTAATTTTGTTGTTGACGAGCAAATGCAACCATTTGTACAAAGTGAGGAAATGAAAAATATGAATGATATTCGGATTTCAAAAATTGAGACGACTGTTTATGACATGAAAAGTGTTTTGGAAGAACTAGTTGTTATTGTTAAAAGTGGAATAACTAATTCTTCCATTCCGAAGGTCATGGAAAAATGTGAGCCACTGCAAAGGTCAAAACAACAGGAAGCGGGGCATGGCCATTGTAAATGTGAACCTGGCATAGTTGCACCTGGAGTTGTGGTAGAATCTACAGTTGTACCTATAGTTGAACATGTCAGCCCTATACTCGTGCCAAAACCTAATGTTGTGGTTGAATCTACGGTTGTACCTACAGTTGAACATGAGAACAATACACTCCCGCCAAAACCTAATGTTGTGGTAGCATTAGAGAACATGGAGGAAAATAGAATTCCGCTCACACCATCCATCTTGCAATTGGATGCCCATCTTCATGAGCAAACCAAACAAGCGAAGAACAAAATCAAGGTAAGATTGAACAACAATCGAAGAAAGAAAATCCCAAAACTCCAACTTATTGATGAATCTAGTTCATCCATTGGTCCATATGGCGGTCCTTGCACTCAACATTCGGATGCGCGGGTGGACATACAATCACCTTTTACAGCCATTGCTGGTAAGAAAAGGAAAGCCACTCAGAAAGTACCAACCAAGACAAAGCTTCATTTAGATGAATCAGATTCATCTCTCGATACAAAGGAGGATAAGTTTGATCAAGTAAGTCATGTACATAATATATGTGTTATACAATGTTGCTATTCCTATAAATATATTTTAGGATTTTTCATTATTTATTGTTCGTTGTAATTTGTTTTAGAGTTTGAACTTACTTGGAAAACTACTTGGCCTCAATTTTGAAGCATCTGCTACTGCCATTGAGGTTATTACTAATTTCATTATTGTTCTTGATCTCCAATCCCCTTATTTTAATGCACTGCAAGAAGAATGACAATTTATTGTTTATGTGTTCGGTTAAATTCACAAGTCATCGACTACACAAATTGTGAGGCCATGTCCTTTATCTGCTGAGGAACAAATTGTGAAGGCTTATTGTTTCGATAAGGATTTGGAAAGCAGGTAATTTTATTGCGTTTGTATGTTCCTCTCTTTCACCAATAAGTGCAACTCTTCAATTTGTACATGATGCAGTGAGGATATTGTGGTCATGGAGTTGTTTTATATGCCGGTTGAATTTGCCACCCGATTCGATTTGTGCTCATTACAACCAAAAACATGGATTTGTGGTTCCGTAAGTGTTCATTTCATGCATCAATATTGCTATGTGAAGTCATTTTTAAGGATATAGGTTTCAAATTATTATTTGATGCATGTATTTCAGATTATTAATTTAGTTGTAGCACAATTGACAAATGCACAAAGGAGGCTCTTCCCCGATAAGTGTCATAGGACGTGGTACTTTCCCACATATGTATCGGTGAGTAGTCTACTGTGTCATGTTTATGTTTGGTTATTCATGTATACTTATTGATGTATACTTGTGCATTATCAATTGTAGCAACATATTATCAATGGGGCGGACCATGCAAAGCTATGTGACGAATATTTTGGGCAGTCTCGATACACTGGGAAGCTTCATGCCTGTCAAGAAGTAATGTGTCAAGCATTCTTCCATTTTACAGGATTATTTTAAATATCCCCTCCATTTTACAAATATTTTTATTATTTATTAAGTTTTTTAGGGTATCAATGTCGTCACTATTTTTTTTTAATAAATTTTCTAAACTGGTTGGGCAATGTTGCATGACCCTTTTTTTATTATTGTCACTCAGATATATATTCCGGTGAACGACCATGAAGAACATTGGTTTTGTGTCAACATAGATATGGCACATCGCATGGCTTATATATTTGACTCGAGTCCCAGCCTCACAAATGACAAACGTCGTGAATTAATGGCAAGGAAATTGGTAAGTCGTTTATTTTATTTTATTTTTTTAAAGAAAAAAAACAATCAGCTGCATCTATCTTACAACATTCATGCATAGGTTCAAACAATGCATTTGTTATTGCAACAATATTTTGGAGACCTTTATGTTGCAAATGTGAAGGAGTTCGAATTAGAGAGGTTGAAAGACGCTTGTCTCCAACATAAAACCGATAGGTATTCTAAAATTTTTTCATTCGCTATTCATTTTTGGCTTTCTTATTAACATTACACACAAGTTTGACATTCATATGTATGTTGTCATGAAGCTATGACTGTGGTATGTTTGTCATGAAGTATATGCAAGGTGTTGTTATGCCGACCGGCGTACACAAGGTGACTGTTCAATGTTAACCACATAATTACACTATTGCAATTACAATGTCATATGATGGTATTGTTGATGGAATATTTTTTGTTTTGTTTCCTTAGTTTGATAAACTGGAAAGGTTTAGGCTACTAGTTGACCTAGTGAACGATTCGTCTAACCGTATTTATATTGAGGTTATGAATAGGCTCGAACAATACAAAGAGAGGTGCGTCCCCAAACCATGAACAACTTATGCCCTTCATAAACTCAGCTGATTACTTATTGACTGTAATTTCTTTTGTAACAGGTACTCTAGGCTTCGGAAGGCTAAAAGGAAAAAGAAAGTTTGATTGAAAACATGGCTGGTTGAAAAAAGATTGATTCGCCTAACCGTACTTTTGGCACTATGCTTATTCAGAATTATGAACATATTAGATGGTTGAAGAAACATGGATGACTAAACTAACCCAGTTTGGTAGTATTCTGTGGACGATTGAAAAAGCATATTATTTATTGGGTTTCAATTTGTATGGAATTTATATTGCTGCTCAAGTTTGGTGTGATGAATCTATTTATGATATTTAACTGTATCACATTACTCTTGGTTGTTACATTTACAATCCATCAAAAATTACACACATGTACCAAATGTTAGTGGAGAAACTGTTTTAAAAACTGGATTACGAGTCCATGCATTGCTACATATATGGTACAGTATAATTTTTTTTGCATAATCAGTTCATGTGCAACTAAAATTGTGCTATTAGTGTATACTATCATGTACACATTTCAAATGGCAAAAGTGTAAGAATACTAGTCCTTGGCAGAGTAACAAAATAACTAATAAATTTTCTAAATTTTTTATTTAATAAAACACACATAAAATGAACAATGTCCTCAAAAATAAAAATGAACAATAAAAAAAAATAATATAAAAAATATATTATTAATGCAGAGAAAGTGATAATTCATGTCATCTCCCCACTTAGAAGGCGTGCAAAGGTAGTTCTTTGCAAATTTTAAAAATACAAAGAACAATGACAGTGTTTGCTACAAAAAAGCAACGGAGGACCTGCATATCTTGCTAGTAAGCAACACCTAATGTATCCTTCAATGACTTAGAAAAAAAGAACGTCTAAGAAATCTAATGAAATATATTTGTTAATCACAATCCGTGCATAAATATCATACTAAGTTTTGGAATCGATGTATCAACTGTGTAGTCGATTGGTATCCATAAATTTCAGCAAGCTATACATACATCATTGGCATTGAAAAAAAAAATGTAATTGGACATGTCTATGAAAAATGTCGAAACATCATACTAAATAATATTGTTGACAAAAACCATCCAAATGTTGTCCATCACATAAGCCATCCATGAATTCTAACATTGTTTCAATTTTGTTTTCATAATAAATGGGACAAAAAGTAACACTATTCGCAAAAGTATGGGATGAACAAAGTACCACCACTGTTTGCACAAAAAAGTAACATTGTTTGTAAAAAGAAGTTAACACTTTCTGCACAAAAAAAGTAACACTGTATGCAAAAAAATGTAACAGTGTCAGCTAAATCATTGGCATTGCAAACTTTGTTCAACCATCATTGTCTGTGTCCATTTGTTGGCTGTCATCATGGTTGGACCCATTAGATTCGTGCTCACTATCATTAGAACTAGTTGAATTCTCAAAATCTTCACCACAAAAGGCTTTCCGCATTTGTTTTGGTTCTAACTTGACCTTCCTCATGTCTTTCTTGTGCTGCAACTCCATCCGGTTCAATATGGACACAGCCTCGTACAGACGAGTTGATATGCTCTCCAATGAAGTAGGATCTTGTCTTTCACGATGCTTTCGACTTTGCCCTTGTGTTTTCCCATATGTTCCACGACCTATGTGGCTCATCTGCCCCTTCCATTCATCATCTGGTCGAGTCGGTACACGAAGCTCAAGTAGCATATCAGTCACGAGGAGGCCAAATGGTAATGCTGCATGTGGATTGTTTGCTTTTGCGACAAAATCCACAACTTGCCAAATTATCTTCGGAACATCTAGAGGGCTGAAATTATGGATAGCATACAACATGAGTGCTCGTTCATGGTCAAAAGTGGATTTCACCCCCCTTGGGTCAAGATTGTACCACAATATAAGATGAAGAACAGCAAGGTCAGGCTTCAGGAACTTTACATGATACTTGTCTTCTGGTATGACTCCTTCAATGTACAAATCATCAATAATTTGGGCTTCATTAGGAAGGTCAACACCAGGAAGGTATGGATATTGTGTTTTGTCATCATGTGTTGGTCGCTGAATGTCTAAGAATTTTGATATGCAATCCGCGGAAAACACCACATCTTTCCCCCTCAGTTTTGTTTTCAGAATCAAGTTCTCTGTATCAGTTGGCTTTTGTATGCTACCAAAGAACTCCCGTACCAGGTTGACATTGGCCTTCCCTTCCCGTTCAATTAGGTTTTGGATATGCAAGTGGCCCACAATTGTTGGAATGTCAGTATGAGTTAACTCCTTCAACTTGACAGCCCGCTCTACTGTAATAGCCCGTTTAGCAAAAATACCAAGGTCAACGTGAGGAGCTACGACTTTTCCTTTACTCGTTTTTTTTGTTGTCTTTTTCCGTGGCATTTTCAATTACCTGCGTAATATCCGAACATATTAAAACATATGTACGTCATTGGAGAGATTCAAATTTTAATCATACAATGACAAATGCAAATATAATAAAACTTTATTCATTTCAGTCATCAATGTCCACCATTTCTTACGAAGCAAACAGACAATTAAAAAAATCTACAAACGTAACAGTGATTGTTTGTAAAGTAATGGCATGAGCAAATCCCTATTTTATAAGCAATCAAACAAATTTGGAATTTATTCACCTTTATTTTTCAAATTAATCTCCAAACTACGCAATTTATTAAGTCAAAAATATTAAAAATTACTAAGTCAAATATTTCAATGGAAGAAACACTCAAGTCAAAATATTAAAAAATAGGCAATGCACATCTCCATCATGTCTTATTATCCCTATACATGTGTCACCTAACAGCAATGTCCACCATTTCTTACCAAGCAAACAGACAATTAAAAAAATCTACAAAAGAAAAAGACAGACAGTTCGGAATTATTAACAGTGATTGTTTGTAAAGTAATGGCATGAGCGAGTCCCTATTTTATCAGCAATCACACAAATTTGGAATTTATTCACCTTTATTTTTCAAATTAATCTCCAAACTACAAAATTTATTTAGTCAAAAATATTTAAAAATATTAAGTCAAATATTTCAATGGAAGAAACACTCAAGTCAAAATATTAAAAAATAGGCAATGCACATCTCCATCATCTCTTATTATCCCTATACATCGATACCATACCATTCCAATATAAGCGTAGTTATGTGTCACCTAACAGCAATGTCCACCATTTCTTACCAAGCAAACAGACAATTAAAAAAATCTACAAAAGAAAACAATGTTTCGATCACCTTTATTTTCAAAATTATTCTCCAAACTACGAAATTTATTAAGAATGCCTAAGATTAAAACAACTAAGACATTAACAAAACATAACTACTAGCCACTAATGTCTCCTTGTAAAAACAATGTTTCGATCACTGTAAGCCTCATCATGAAAGTCAACTACACTGGATCATTTGGATAAATTGGCAATTCATCGATATCATCCGTGTGGGGATCGAACTCTGTGTTCATGAATGGTTCACTGTCTGAGTTGCTACCCTCTCTGTGGCTACTTGAAGCCAATTTTTTACACGTCCGCTTCGTGTGTCCGATGCTCCTACAGTAGCAAATAATGCATAAACGATTTTAATAATCATATGCATGTAACAGGATATTAAAAGGTCATACAATGAAAGTACCATACCTACAATACCCACACCGCCTTGGTTTTGGAGGTTTACCCATACAAGATGTCCCTCTGGGGTTCCCTTTGGTCTTCACTACATTCGGATCACCAACGCCATATAGTTTGGGTGCAATATTTTTGTCCCCAGCCTCGGCGTTACCTTCTTTTCTCATTGCCCAACGTTTTTTCATCTGCGATGTCAGCTGGAAAGCTATTTCCCTTGCCTCTTCAAAATCTTTGTCCGCGTGTGAGGCATAATATGACATTTCACTAAAACAGGAGCTGAGTATACCAAACCGAGCTGTCTGTGTTAGGGTGCTACAAATTTGGGTAAGACTTGGTTGTTGACACTTTGACCTACCACGTCTTGTCCATCTCTGCAAGACACAACTCGGTGGAATACACATTAATTGTTCAGATTTCATAACAGCAATCATGTGGCAGCAAGGGATGCCAAACGACTCAAACTTCAAGCAACAACATTTCATTGTGATATTAGCTGGAAAATACTCAACCGTCCACGTGCATGTTGGTGCCTTGTACTCACCAAAACGGTAGGTGCGATGATCCTCCAGCTGAACTCTTTCCATCACAAACAATTTACCCTCTTTCCTGATTTCATGTTGAAACAATGAGAAAATCTTCCGAGTAAAGAGTTCAGCTGCATGTTTCTCTAAACTCCTCAATGGCGTAGTCAAAACCGGGAAACTATTCTCTGTTTTAGATTCTGTTTCTGCCTCATTAACACGCATTCTAGCAAGAGCCCTATCATACTGCGCTACAAATTCATACAGCCTAACCTTTTGGTTTAGGAATATATTGAAATATGCATTTATACCCTCGACACGTTGAGTGCTCCTCATTCCAGCAAACATGTGACCACGGAGATATGCCTCAGCCCAATTATCACGCTTCAGATGAATATCCGACACCCAGTTATTGTTCTCCAACTTGTACTGTTTCACCATAGCAGCCCAGGCATTGTCAAACTCATCAATTTTACATTTCTTTAACATCAAGTGTGCAAAATCAGTTGTAAATTCTGGTATGTGGACATTTGTTGAGGCATTTTTCTCCAGATGCCAAGAACATAAACGATGTCTGCAGTTTGGAATAACTCTTTTGATTGCCTGACGCATTGCCCTATCACCATCTGTTGCAACGGAGATGGGTCTTTTACCATCCATGGCCTCCATTAACATTTCCAGCACCCACGTGTATGTCTCCATTGTCTCATCAGGCAACAAAGCACATCCGAATATAGTTGTCATGAAATGGTTACTCACGCCAGCTAGAATTACAAATGGCTTCTTATATGCATTTGTACGATAAGTTGTATCAAATACCAATACATCACCAAATGCAGCATAATCCATTCGAGACCTACAATCTGCCCAGAAAATCTTGTCCAACCGGTTTTCCTTATCAACGTTGTATTTGAAAAAAAATAATGGATCTGCATCTAATTTAGCTGACAAGTATCCTAACGCACCCTCTGCATCCCCTTCTGCGAGTTGTACTTTGCGTTCAGCTTGGAATTGATTGTGCAAATCTCTGTGAATGAAGCCCACCTTCTCATAACCCCCTGACTGATGGACCATAAAATCCATGATCTGACTCGTTTTCATACCCACATTGCGCATGGCCTTTGCTTGAGCTTGGTCTGCACTTGTTACAAACCTATGCGACCAAAGAAAAGGGACGCAGTGTGGTGCTGCCAACGGATGGTTGTGTTCCCCTACAAAGTGGGTCACAACATATTTCCTAGCTGTCTTGTCATAACGCACACGAAATGTGGCATTACAAAAAAGTCTAGTTTCTGCCCTAGGAGTTCTTACCCGTTCCACACGTTGCAAGTATTTTTTTTCTCTTACACCTTCCCTTGAACAAACCCATTTCCTACTCTCTACAAATTTGTTGTCTCCAGTTATTCTTTTTCTACTTCTTTGTACGCTAAAACCGATGACCTTAGCGTATGCATTGTAGAAAGTATAAGCATCATCCTCTGAATTGAATTTCATTTGCAACACATCTTCCTTAGTAAGCATTCGTAAACTGTCATAGGTTTGGGAAGCTAACCCTTCTTTCACATCAACAACATCATCCTTGCCATCTGGAGCAAATTGATCATCAATTTCAGTATTGACCTCTTCAGGCCTACTACTTTCAGGTTCATCCATCGTATATACACTTGTAAGTACCCTATTAGCAATTAAAACGAAACAAATCAACTAAAAAACACACATGCCATTGCGATGCTATAATTTACATCTTCAGAACAAATAAATTAGCACACCTGCCAGTGCCTTGCAATCAATTTAAAAAAAAAATAATTCGAACATGTCTACAAGCACCCTACTATCAACTAAAACCAAACAAAAAACCAAAAAAAGCACACCCGCTAATATTGTGCTATCAATTATTACTTCTTTATAGAAAATGAACAAATAAGCACACCAGTCCGTGCTATGCTATCAATTACATGCCAATAATAAAAAAAGCACCTGTAAGTACCCTACTATAAATTAAAATAAAATTAATTAATTACAAACACACCTGCCAGTGTTCTGTTATAAATTAAAATCAAACAAATAAATAAAATAGCACACCCGCCAGTGCCCTGCTATTAATTAAAAGCAAATAAATTAAAAAGCAGACCTGCTAATGCAACCGCTACGAAGGAAGGGATGTCGGAGGTATAGGTTTATTTCGACGTTAAGATGGAGAAATTGAGGACCTATGACAAACAAAAACAGAACATCGAAATTGAGTTAGTAAAGAAGACAATAGTTAAGGACAGTAATGATTATGGCGAGAAAAGAAAGAATCTATATACGAAAAATATTTAACACATTTTGCTACCCCATGCCATGTGAGTCAATTAAACAAAAATACCTTTAGACTGTATTTGAATCTTGCATTTTTGGGAAAAAAGGAAAAACAAGGGAAAAATGACAAAATTTAATAGTTTAGTACACCATGTAATGCGAGTCAATTAAACAATAAGTATTGATAGGTTATGCTTCAATCTTGAATTTGAATAGGAATTGTGAAGTTGCAACCGAGGCCTTGAAAAGACAAAGGGAAACTCACAGGGGCATGATGAGAGAGGTATGCTATTTCTTTACACCCTCAAATCCTTTTAAATTTCATTGTGATGTGGCTCATAAGCTAAAGGACATTAGCGAGATGCTAGATGAGATTGTTTTAGACATGAGCAAGTTTAAGTTTGTCGTTTGAAGTGAAGATAGGACAGTTGAGATAAAAAGAAGGGAGGAAACGTCCTCCTTTGTGCGTAGTGCGGAGGTTATTGGGAGAGAACGTGAAAAAGAAGTTATAGTACAATTATTAGTGTCCTCTAGTGGTGATGAAAATGTTGATATCATTCCCATAGTGGGAATGGGGGGTCTAGGAAAGACCATCCTTGCACAGTCGATATACAATGATAACAAAATTGAATGCCATTTTAGCAAAAGACTATGGGTGTGTGTTTCAGATGATTTTGACATCAAAAGGATCCTAGTTAAAATACTGAAAGCGTTAGGGGACAACACGTGTGATAATGTGGAAATTGACTAGTTGTAAAGTCAAGTTCGAGGAGTGTTAAGTCATCAAAAAATTTTCCTCGTCCTAGATGATGTATGGAATGAGGACCTTGTAGAATGGGCAAAACTTCGTGATATGTTGATAGTCGGGGCAAGAGGAAGCAGAATTGTTGTAACCACACGAAGTAGAAAAGTTGCTTCAATTGTTCACACCATGGACCCATATGAGCTTAAAGGTCTTTCAGACAATGAGTGTTTATCTATATTGGTAAAATGGGCATTTGAAAAAGGAGAAGAGAGCAAGCATCAAAACCTAATCAATATTGGTAGAGATATAGTGAAGAAATGTGGGGGAGTTCCCCTTGCAGCAAGGACCTTAGGAGCAGCATTGCATTCAAAAACTAAAGAGCGTGATTGGTTGTCTGTGAGGGATAGCGAAATTTGGGCTTATGCACAAAATAAGAATGATATCTTACCAGTTCTAAGGTTGAGTTATGATCAAATGCCATCGTATTTAAAACAGTGTTTTGCCTATTGTTCATTATTTGAGAAGGATCAAATAATCAGCAAACAAGAGTTGATATATTATTGGATGGCACAAGGATTTATAGAGTCTTTGGACAATAATGAAGAACTAGAAGATACTGGTCAAAATTACATAGATGAGCTGGTCAGGAGGTCCTTTCTTCAATATGAGGGGGGCGAAGCATATAAAATGCATGATCTTGTTCATGATCTAGCAGAATATGTGGCCGGTAGTGAATGCTTGACTGTGAAAAGGACAAATAGCAAGGTAAATCCTGACAAGGTTCGGCATGTATCATTTGATTCGAGCTCATATGGTGAACTTCCAAGGCCTTTAATTGAAGCAAAGAAGCTGCGAACCATTCTTTTTCCGAGCAAAAGGCAGCCCACCTTTGGATCATCAGTTGAAACAATAATCTCGAGTTTTAGATGCTTACGAGTGGTAAACTTTAACAACCCTGACATTGAAGACAACCATGGCCAACATTTTAATTTCTTATCCAAGAACGTAGTAAATTTGATGCACTTAAGGTACCTTAACATGAAGTACTGTTATGGTATGCAAACACTCCCTAAAGGCTTTGGCAATAGCTTGCTATACTTGCAATATTTAAATCTTTATGGTTCAGCACTATGTGAATTGCCTGAAGATTTTGGGAAACTAATTAACCTACGTTTTTTGGGTTTATCATCAATGCTGTCATGTTTGCCTGAGAAACAGATTGGTGGGTTGACTTCTCTCCAGGAATTACAGCTATATGATAGTTTTGAACTGACTGGTTTAGGTGAAGGGATAGGAAAACTCACTTGCCTCCGAAAGTTGGAAATTAAACTATCTCCAATGCTAACTTCATTGCCACTTGGCATGAGATACCTCCCTGCCCTTGAGCATCTGAAGATTAGCTATTGTTTTGCTCTCAAATTCTCAGAGGATAATGATTTGCAGGGGCTGAGAAGACTTAAATCACTAACATTGGTTGATCTGCCGCGGTTGGTGAGTTTGCCCAAGGGACTTCAAGATGCTGCTGACACGCTCAATCAGCTCAAACTTCGAAGTTGTGAGAACTTGACAACGGTATCAGAGTTCGTCCTCCCATGTCTTACATCACTTCAAGGACTTGAAATTTATAATTGCCCTAATTTGCTATCTCTACCAAAGGAGATGCAACATCTCACTGAACTACACTGTCTGAGCATCAAGGGGTGCAAACAATTGAGTAGAAGATGTGAGAAGGGAATAGGAGAGGATTGGCCCAAGATTGCTCATGTCCCCAAAATTGAAATTGATTACATATGAAGATTCAATCTGTTTAAAAGACTCAATATTCTCAAATCAATTCTATCTCCAGGTATGGCCCTAATTTTCCTCCAACTTTACTTTTTATAATTTTTCAGTGCAATCAAAATTTTACACAAGGGTTTTGGAATTTGTCATAACAACATTAAATCAAATATACTCAATGGGATTAGTCGAGACTTAGACTACCCAAGACAAAAAAAACCAACATTAGACCAAATATATTTTCCTATTTTTATAAACAAACCCAGTGAGTTCACAAACGTGAACTCACAGTTTCAAAGAAAGGGATTGCGGTCTAGGGTTTCATACAATGGACATGGAGAAAGGGGGAGAGAAAAAAGTTGCAGAGAGAGAGAGAGAGAGAGAGAGAGACATACCTTCAGGCGAAGTCGAGGGTGGGTCGTCTTCGCAGGGATGGCCTTCGAGGGATGGTCTTCGAGGGCGAAGAGGAGGGTCTGCGTGCTGTCTCAAAAACAGAAGGGTTTGGGAAAAAAATTTGAAAAAAAAAGTAACCGGTTGAAGGGGTTGCCAATAATCCTAATCAAATTATTCAGTGGTTGAGATTCATTTGTAAAAATCTAATGGCTTAAAATAAATGTGTATATGATGTGCACATCTTATTGAGGTGCACATCTTAACAGCTCCCTTTTTTTTTTAATGACTTTTTGACTATTTTAGAAATTGCCAAAACAAGTCTATCTAATTTATAAATTTTCTCTGTTAGATAAGCTCTATTTAAAAATAAAATAAAAAAATACTTTACTTTCATTTTTGTTGCTGTTTATTTGGACGCATTTATTTAGGTTTCTAGTATTTATATTTGAACTAAACTCAAATTGTTATTTTTGTTAATTAACTTCTTGATTTTATTTGTGCTTAGTTTGGCTAGAAAGAAATTGCCTTTAGCGGTGGTTGTTTCTTACTAGAATGAGGGTTGCTCATAAATTCAGATCAAATCTTTAGGCTATTCAATTTTGGAGGGTCATTGAGAAGGTCTTCTGACCTAAACATATTGACTAACAAAGCTTAAAATGATTTTTTTTTTTTTTTTGAGAGAGAGAAAATTAGTAAAAATTATAATTTAAAGAGAGTATAAGGTATTAGATCTAAGGTAAAATTTTATTTGGTGATAAGGACATACTGAAAAAAGTCACCGGAAAATTTCATCGGTACTAGAAAATTGGCCAGAAAAGTCGCCTATGGTGGGTGCAACAAGTGGTGGTAATGAGATAGAGAAATATATGATATTCAACAGATAGAGTATTGAATGAGTGACATGTGTCATATTTCAACAAATAGATAGTTTGGTGAATTTTAATAAATAGAAAAATAGGTTAGGTGAATTTTAACAAATAGACAAATTAAGTGATTTCAAGAGATAAGGTGATTTCAAGAAATAGATAAATAGATTGATTTCAACAGACAATTTGTGTCCTTTTGGTTTAAAGAGATTAGAGATTTGGCCTAATGGCCCAAAAGATGAAGAAATGGACGTACGACATAATGTCCTTTTAATTACCCAAATTTTTTATTTATAAAAAATGTATAAATTTTTTAGTTTTTTTGACGAATATCCTTAAAAATCTTTAACAAAATCTTTAATAAAATTCAGAGAAGAGTGATCGACTTCTTGACTAATTCTTCTTTGTAATTGTTTCTATCAAAATCTTGTTGGTAATCTCAGATATTAAAAATTCATATGATTGAAATGAATCTAAATAACATCGGAGAATTACACCCCAGTGGGGTGTATACAAAAAAAATGAAAAATATATGGTTTTAATTATTAATATTTATAATTTTTTTTTTCTTCTTACCACTGATATGTAAATCTCCAAATAACATATACATATATATTTGATATTTTCTGTTTCAAAGTTTGTTGATTGAAAACTTGTTGACATAGGTAGGCCTATAGGAGCGTTTGGCCCATCACTTAGAGCCCAATACATAATTCAAACATTAAAGCTCAACATTGTTGGACCTCAACGTGGGATTAAGGACCAATGGCATCCAGACACCTGGCAAGTGCAGAACCAGCCACATTAGCAGACAAAAATCCTGCAAAATTATTGTACCACACATCAGCAATTAATGAGCCTTCCTACAGCATTTATTACGATAACCCCTCACGTCGGAACAGAAGAGCCTCATCATGAACAAGGCAAGCTAGAGTATAGACTTTCGGCCAACATGATGGCTCGGAGTGGACAAGGAAATGATGAGCAATGGATATAAGCAGGCTCCTAAGACAAAAAAAAGGTTAAGCTTCTCTATCACTAATCTATCTCCATCTCTTTCCTTCACTTTTGATCACCTTCACCTTTCTAATTTGCTCGTCGGAGGGTTCGTTGGGGGACTCCCCATTCCCCGTTGAACTCTTTTGTAGGTATTCTCTGCAGGTTCATCCCTCGGAAAGCGGCTTGAGAAGCATGGATCATCCAGACCCATTCCATTTGGGGTATCCGATAACGAAAGTAACATCAGTTGGTGCCGTCTGTGGGAAACCTTTTTGCTTTGTACGGCAACTATGCTCATTGTCGCCGGAGACCCACTCCCGATAATCCCTACCTGCCACCCATAAAGATGGATGGTCACAACTAGATTCATGGCTTCTCAATACAACGTTGTCGATCTCCAAGCCGACCCCCCTAACCCAAACAACCCACCGCAGTATTTCACCGAGCTCACCAACAACATTAACCGCCTAGCCGAACAAAACCAAGCGCTGATTAATGCTCTAGTTCAAAGAAACCTTCTTATACCTCCTCCACCACCTCCAGATATCCCACCCAACTAAGAACGAGCCCCGAGCCATCCTATCTAACAGTCCCACCCATCCAACTTGGAAGGCTTACGACCCCTTCCACCAGAAATGAACCCGCCACCCCGAGCCCCACATCTATCATTCCAAGCACCTGCCCCCGAGGGAGAGACCAGTAGTGTCCAGCCTCCGTTGCATTCTGGCGGTGACAACGTCCTTCTCTGGGATGCAGAACTCCGAGCTATGAAACTCCAGCTTCAAGGAGTCATGCAGAACATACAGAATAAACCCTCTACCACAACTAACTTACCGTTCGTTGTCTCCATCAAGGACAAACCCCTACCCCCCAAGTTCAAAATGCCCTCGATCGACTCTTTTGATGGTACAACGGATCCAGTCGACCATTTGGAAACTTACAGGACCCTTATAGTCCTCCATGCATTCCCCAACGAGATCATGTGTCAGGACTTCCCCGTAATGCTTAAGGGGTCAGCTCGACTCTGGTTTAGTCAACTGCCAACAGACTCTGTCTCTACTTTCCAACACCTGAGCGACTTCTTTCTTAGCCACTTCATTGGTGTCCGGCGCCAGCGGCGTCTAGCGACTCAACTCCTCAACATCCGACAGACGGAGGGGGAGTCACTGCGCAGCTTCGTCACCTGCTTCAACAACGAAGCCTTGTAGGTGGCAGAAAATGACGACAAGGTCATTCTCACGGCTTTCATAGCTGGTCTACGATCCTCCGATTTCCTCTTCTCTCTCTCCAAAAATCCCCCAACCTCCATGGTAACCCTCCTCTCTAAAGCCCAAAAGTACATAAACGCCGAAGATTCCCTAGCCGCCCGACAAGACTCCACAGCCAAAAACCCGATCTCCAGAGAGAAGTGAAAGGACTCTAAAACCAAAAACACCCAGTACACACAGTAAACGCCTCAATATACCGACCGACCAGCTCGAGCCAACCGACCGGCGCCTACCCGACCGCCCGGCCAGTTCGAACAATACTCACCCCTCAATTCCCCCATGGAACAAGTCTTGAACCAGATCCAACGAGATTACCCCTTAAAATGGCCCCAATTGTCGTGGTTTCTTTCCAACCGACGAGACCAATCCAAATATTGCTGTTTCCATCAGGACCACAGCCATAATACCGAGGAGTGTGTTAACCTAAAAGACCAGGTCGAGGGCTTGATATGCTAGGGGCGTCTCAGTCGATTCACGGCAACCCGCTCTCAGCAAAGGCAAAGGACTGAACCTACCCGAGACAACCATCGACACACCCCTCCTCGACAACCCGCACAACCTAACCCAGGCCATGATTGGCCCCCATAGCAACCCCAGGCGCAAGGCAACCCTAGCCTCCCGGTTGGAGAAATCAGAGTTATTGTTGGCGGGCTTGCTTGTGGAGGACCGTCCCGTTCGGCTCAACGGGCAGAACTTAGAAAAATAAGGCAAGGCTCAGATAAAGAAGTTGCAATATTGGACCGTCCTTTCAAATACCCCAAGCAGTGGATGGAGCCCATCATCTTCACGGAGGCTGACTGCATAGGCATCCGCTACCCTCACGACGACCCCCTCGTCATCTCCGCTCTCCTGTCAAATTACAAAGGCAGTTCTTCAGATATCATCTTCCTAAACGCCTTTCGTCAGCTCAAGGTCGGGGAAGAAAGTTTATCCCTCTTCAAACCACATTGGTCAGTTTTACTAGAGATCGAGTGACCTCCATAGGCTCCATTGATCTTCCTATCACAATCAGAGAATACTCGCGGCAGACCACAAAGTTACTCACTTTCCTCGTCGTCAACTGCCCCTCTGCTTACAACATTATCCTCGGCCGCACCGCCCTCAATGCTTTTCAAGCTGTCACATCCACTTTCCATCTAGCCGTAAAGTTCCCTACCGACCTTGGGGTTGGCACTATGAGGGAAGAGCAGACCGTGGCCAGAGAATGTTAAGTCACTTCACTTAAAGAAGTCAAGTTAAAAGAGCCTATGATCATTGAAGGACTTGACGTCAGAGATGAAGACGAACTGGTCAGAGGGGAACCAGTTGAAGAGCTTGTCGAGGTTCTCATCGACCTTACCAACCCGACAAAACTGCCAAGATCGGCAGCCAACTATCTTCAAAAGCCAAGGTCGACCTTACAGCCCTCCTGATCGAACACAATGACGTGTTTGCTTGGACCCACTCCGACATGCCGGGTATTGATCCCTCCTTCATCACTCATCGCCTC